TACACCCCCCCCCTTCCCCCACGTGCAGAAAACATTGAGTAGACAAACACCAGACCTACGCCCCACGTGTCGTAGACACTCACCCGATGCCGCTGATCGTCTGCTGTTACAGACCGTTATGGGTGGTAAGGTATTGTTAGGCTTCCCGCCAAAACACCACTTCATCCAGCCGAGGTATCGAGTTTGATTAAGACGATAAAAAACTATTATGGCACTTTGTTTTTGTGTTGATTCGTTTTTGTTAATCAGAGATTGCCACGCGTCTTGGGCAAAGGGTAAAAAAAAATCTGGCATCTCCGGGGTTTGTTTGGGAAGGAGACACGTACAGACCATCCGCTGACAGCGTAGCCTCGTTCTGTCAGGGCAAGTCTGTCAGCTCAAAATAAACGTCTTTACCGCACTTCATTTGGCCTCTCATCGCAGGAAATCTGGCCAATTGATATCACGCGAAGGCAGTTTCCGGTTTTAAGGAATATAGATTTACACATTTTTTAAAAATAAAAAATCCTATAAAAATAATTTAGATACGCAAAATTTCGATTCTAACTTTTTGGCTAGGTTTTTCTAACAGTTTAAAAAAAAAAAATGCCACGTTGGTATTTTTAAAAACTACAGTTGCTATGGTTATTTTAATTTAAAAAAAAGACAATCCTTTTAGGCAACTAGAGTAGGGTAAAAAAATATTTCTTGGATGTACTAGCTAAAAGCTACATGTGCGTGCATTTCTGCTGGCTAACCCAACTCGATATAAACATTTATTTCCCAAACAATAAATTAAAAAAAAAATGCATAACAATCTTATTCGGTATTGTGAAAATGATCTTCATTTCAAGAATTTTTCTCCAGCTAAAAAAAAAAACTTTTAAATTTGCCGGCCCATCATTTTCTTATGCTAAAACAATACAAAAATCCTTTCAGACTCGACCTTTACACACTGAATTCCCAAATAACCCCCTGTCAAATCCACACCATCCCACGTCACACAACCCCCCCCCCCCCCTCACTGCACGTGACGGGCTCAAACCTCGGCGGGATAAAAAACCCTTTCAATCATATGCAAATTCTGACGTGAAAGTTAATGGTGAGCAAGAAGTCGTGTCTGCTGTCGACTTAACTCTCCCGTCTTGGTCCGTCTGCGTCAGCTCCGGTGTCGTCTGCTAGATATCGTACCATCGGAGCTGGGGAAATGTGATCGCATGAATAATTCATCCTGGTTGGGTATTGGACTTTCTGCTTGTTTTTTAATCCGATCACAGTTTGAGATAGATTTTAAAATTAAATTCTGAAGTTTATTTAAAGTTTTAATAATTTAAAAAAAAATAAAAATTTTCCCCATTAATATACAGAAAAATTGTTTTTGTATTTTTCCCTAAACATCTCCGTATTATCGATTTAGCATCAGTAAGAAAGCGTAGATACCGTATTGACCTAAAGGCATTTTAAGGATGGTGTAGGAGTGTTCATTTGTTGTTCTTACTTTTCTTCTTCTTTCTCCTTCTTTGTTCTTAATTTTAGTGTTGGAAGGGATTGCTTCCGACAAAATTAAGTATACGTGTCAACTGGTTATGCGCCATTGAGGCCATTGACTCCAATTTCAGCCTGCTTTTCTTTTAGGATTTGTTTCCATAGACTTTTGTCCAACCAAGAACAAACTACAAGGCAGCAGTTGTTGGATTTTGGAGTTGTCTCTCCTAGAAGAGTGTCTGTCCCCAGCTAACGAGCCTCATCTTCCCGAGGGTTCGAACTCGAGACTTTTCGGTTTAAACGTGAACATATGAAATGGATATTGCTTGAATCTTGAGTCCCGTACACATCAGATCTGGATGGGCTCTAGGGAACTGAACTAAAGACATCCGCGTTAGCATTTGTGAGCTCTACCACTGAACCACGCTATATCTTAAAGTTCCCATCAGGGTTATGTATATAGCTATGTGTTTCAAATAAATCAACCACCCCAAGGCGTAACTATGGGTGGGGGGGGGGGGCTCTGTCCAATGTTTTTAATATTAAGATAATGTATAAATAGACGAGAGCCGGGCGTTTGCCTGAAAGACACTTGCCCGAAAACTTAGCCGAATGCGACAAATGCCTGAATGGACACTTGGCCGAATGCGACAAATGGCCGAAAAGGGGAGTTGCAATTCACCACATTCAATGTTGTGCAAAGGCAGGAGATGTTCAGCGTGGGTGTACCGCCGACTCCATCAACACCTTATGTACGCAACTACAGCTGAGGAATTGTATCCTGTGAATGCATGCGGTGAATATATGTTGTGTTTGTAACCTACTCCAAATTATCGCGTGTTTGTGTATTTGTGTCTTTGTGTGTCTGTGTGTGCTTGTGTGTCTGTCTGTGTGTGTGGACATGGTTTCCAAAACAAGATTAAGCTAAGACCCTTAGCACTTTTTCTCATGACTGGGTCGCTGTTTGACCACCCCACACCCTCTTACCCACCCCACACACGTTTACCCCCCCCCCCCCCCCCTCACCCTAGTGCTCTTGTGGCCTGGGATGTCGACGGATGGGATCAAACAGTACGCCAGGATAAACAAACAAAGCAAACAAATTGAAAAGTGCTCTGTCAAGTGCTTTCGATTGTTATTTTTTTTCTAAATCTTGTTCTTAGAAACGAAGAATTAGATAACAACATCAGCATCTTTTCCCATTCATGCTCAAGACACACGTAGCAGATGAAGTAGAGTTCATCTGTTTCAGAGACCTCGGCATATGAAGGGATACTGTGGTCAGCAATGATGCCCATACACCTTAACTTAAGTTCGAGTTAGGCGGACTCAGTGACATTCTACTGACTTGAACCCGGATTCGAACTCGAGACTTTCGGGTTACCAGTCTAATTCTCTACCGCTGGGTCACTCCGCCCCATAGTTGACAACGTAACAACGTCTGTTGTGTAGGTTCGTCGATGTGGTGGAAGAGGAAGGGGATAACGACAGATTGGGAAACGTCTGCTAATGGTCAACTGTTTGCTGGGGTATGGCACAGGGGAGGACAACTCGCCAGGAAATATTTTAATTAGAGAGAGATAGAGAGACAAAGTTAGAGAGGGAGAGAGAGAGCGAGACAGAGTAAGAGAGAGATAGAGAGAGAGAGATAGAGAGAGATAGAGAGACAAAGCTAGAGAGAGAGAGAGAACGAGACAGAGTAAGAGAGAGAGAGAGAGATAAAGAGAGACAAAGTTAGAGCGATAGAGAGCGAACGAGACAGAGTAGGAGAGAGAGATAGAGAGAGAGACTATCCTGATAGATGCGTTCATCTTTATATTTTTATCAAGGTTTCTGCTTAATCAATTCCACCTTTGATAGTACAATTATAAACAGAAGCGGGGAAATTAAACCATCAACAAATGCTAAATACCTCATTACCATAATCGAAAATCAAAAACATAATTAAGAAAAGATCATAAAATATTAGGCAATATAATTGATCGAGTCGCCAGCGTTTTATCGACATAATTAATTACCCAATTAATTATTCCTGTCGTGAATAACAAACTGACCTCCCCGTGTAGTAATTTCAGTAATTTCAACGCCCCTCCCCCCCCCCCCCCCCCCACCTCGTTACTTCTACCCGAAAGCGCAATCAAAGCTATAAAAAATTCACATTTCAAACCAAAACGAAACAACAAACAAACAACTAAAATATAAATAATCTGCTGCAAAAATAGTCTAATTTTATTTTGTCTGGTGTTAAAAATGTGTTTGCATGCGATTTAGGACAAATGAGAGAGAAAAATGTGCAAAAAAAATTTGACAAAACTGATCTGCTTCAATATTTTTTGATCGATACTCCCCCAAAAATATCCGATTTGATTGTGTCTCGAATCCGGTGCACACAGTTTTCAAAGGGCAGCTGGTACTTCCGGTTGTAATCGATTAGTTAAGGACAGGAGCTGGCGATAAAACAAATATGGCGGCGCCGGCAGACGACACGATAAAACAACTGGGAAAACTTGGGGCGAGCTGAAGTGTAAACATGTAGAGATCTAAGTGAAGCAGATATCGTATAAATATGTTAGATTCTTCCTGTGGCGTAACTAGGGGGTGTGCAGCAAGCTTAGAGGGGGGGGGGGGCACTTTTCATAAAAATAATATAAATATGGATGAGAATGTTAATAGTAGCCTACTTCCTTGTAATTAGGCAAGATATGAGAATGTCTAGGCAATATTTCATTCACATCGATGTTAATGAAACAGATGAACTCTACTTCATCTGCCCCATGTGTCTTGTGCACGAACGGGACAAGAAGACGATCGATGTTAAACTAGTCATTGGACATCTTTTTCACCTGTCGTAGCCGGTACATTTTCTTTCTGAAGTATCTACTGTTAGGGGACGGTGTGGTCGGATGGTAGAGCGTACAACTGCTAAGCCAAAAGTCTTGAGTTCGCATCCCGGGCTCGAGTTTGTAAGACTCTGAATCACGTCAGGTAAAGTAGATATGTCTGGATTATATGCTGACCACACTATCCCTTTCCCGATGTCACGAAACAGGTGAACTCTACTTCATCTACCCCAATGCATCGCTAGGTTTCGGAGGGTAACTTTATAAAGTTGAATCTACGTTTAATATTTATATAAACTTTTATATCAATACACCACTTACGTTATTTCTCTATTTCAGGGTGTTCGTATTTAACCTAGCAATAATCCTAACCCGATAGTGTTAATACCCCACAAGTGTCAACGGATCACTGGGCACTTATGCTGTAGAATTCTCATTGACGGTCTGACCGGACTATTGTATTTCAACAACAGCCAGCTCACTAAGGGGTAACCTGCCAATCAGCTGATCGGATCGATCGTTACGTTCCTATCGATCACAATCAGGAATAATAACAGGAGAAGTTGATGAGTTATAAGAGACAGAGAATGTTGCTGCGGAGAAAATTGCTCTCGATTAAGCTCGAAAGTCAGGAGTTTTCTTCACCGCAAAAAACTTTATAGAAGAGTTTTAAAAGTTTGTGTTTTATCTACAAGCATGAGTTGTCCTATAAGACAAGCGATTGAGGAGGACTTAAGGAAGAGGGCAGAGGGTGCCTCCATCAACACGGAGGGACGGGGCACGCACAGCCCTCGATCTTTGAGCAGCCCTTCGATGGCCAAAACCAGCCCTAAACTTCAGCTCCGAGCTGGCCATGATAAAGATGGCCCGGATGGTTGCGTCACCACAAGGTCACTGACCTCGTCCAAGTCTTCCAGTTCCGGGGAGATCCGAGTCATGAGGAAAATCTCCCCCGCCCACCCCAACCCCATCCTCAACCTGACCCGGAAGGTCTCGCCCCCGCATCCCAACCACGTCAAGTTCTACACGGTCAGCGAGGACACGCCCAGCCGATCGTCCGATGACGTCACTTCCGAGTCCAGCACCCACGGGTCACTGGAGGGCTCGCCCAGGAAGAGGAAGATCAGCAGCATGTCGACGTCATCACTGGGGTCGGAGGGCGAGAGTGAGCAGAGCGGGGAGAGGAAGGTGGATATTACAAGCCTCATCGAGGGGGTGGGGACACTTATTATCCCAGCGGTAAGTCATTAACATGTCAGTAACAGGTCATTAACACATAATTAACAGGTCATTAACAGGTCATTAACACGTCATTAACACGTCATTAACACGTCATTAACACGTCATTAACACGTCATTAACACGCTATTAACACATAATTTAATTTACATATCATTATAAACAACATTAACACATCATTAAAACTTCATTAAACATCATTAAAACATCATTAACATATCATTAACACATCACTCAAGTTATAATTGAACACTCTAGTAATAATGCAACTCTTTTGTAATAGTATATCACTCATGCAACAATAGAGTTCTTAATTGAAGTAGTAATGCATCACTAAAGTAAAAATACATCACTCACGTTATAATAATACATCAATCAAATACCTAAACATTACTTAAATAACTACATCGTTTAAATAGTTTTAAATCAATTAAATCTTAAACGCATCTACCATTCGTTTAATTAATTAGAAGTTGCATGAACATATAGCATACACACTGGTATTAATGTTTAAACCCGGATACATATATACTTATAGTTGTAACTTTGTTGTCTTTATTTAAATTTGTTTCAATATCACTAATTTAATTCACCATCCATTGGTCGGCGTCCATTAAAATGTCAAAGAACTGACTCTGCGTCACTTTCAACTTCTTTCTAATCTACCTGTCAAGTTAAAACTGCCGAGAAGCTTTCTATACTTCCGGTCAAGAATATTTAAAACTTAATACCAATAATCGACAACGATTCTGTGTAAAATAAAAATAAAAATTACAGTGATGCAAATCGTGGATCCAAACCTAGAGCATCAGAAGTGATGCTGTTGGTGTAACTGCTGTAATGAACTGGCACACGTAATTGCCCTTAAAGTATACATAAATTAAACAATTGTTTATAAGTTATCAAAATAGAATCCACTCCATTGTGAGTAAATGGTAGTTGGTGGACTTAAGACATGTCGCTGTTGAAGGTTAAGACAAATGATTAATATCCTTCAAAGTTATTTAATGTAAATATGTATACAAAAATTATACATATGTTTCCCTAGTGTTGCATACCTCTCAATCTTTCAAAATCTCAATATGTTAATACAAAAATCATTTTGCTACATAGCGAAATAATGAGCGAGAAGTTTTCAACATTTATGTTATTCATGACAATTGCAATAACGTACACCTTCAAAGCTAACCTAGCTTGATTGAACCTAACCTGACCCAACTTACCCTGCCCCGATTGTGAATGCTGTTGAAATATCCAATCCATCACGCTAAAAATAGAAAATAAACGTTATTCACAGAGTCAATAATCTAACTTCTGTACTCCTAACATTTTCTTTATTTAGCTCGGAAATTTTTAGTTTTTCTTCCCTGTCTATGCAGGTTTTCTTTGAACCTCATACAAGATAAATAATTCCGTCAATCGACAACCGCACATCAAAGACACGATGAGCAAATAAATCAGCTGATTGTGGCGAACTATTTGATTGGGGGAAATATTCAATCACAGAGAGTCATTTCTTGCACAAAGCGGTGTCCAAAAACTATTTTACCCGGGATAATTGTTTATCCATTTTCGTTTTTTTTTTTACTTCTTCTAGCTGCACCGTAGGAACTTTTTGAAGAATACGGACGTTGTATTTTCCAGAACACCGACAAGCCTTGCTCAACTTTTGTTTTCAGTGTAAACGATGCGCCCGCTATGAATAGCCTCGTTAAGCTTGTTGGCTCAGGCACAATAGCCTCCTCCCCCCCCCCCCCCAGGTGAGTCTGGGAAATCCCAGGTGAGATAAGAATCCGATACCTATTCGAATAGTTCCGGACGTCTCCTGCAGATTGAGTTCAATTCATTTTCCTGTTCACGTGTTGCGCCGGCCTTAACGACGTGTTTGTTTACCTTAGGGGTCAAAGGTTAAGGAGGTATTCGTTGAATGGTGGGGGGTTTGAGGTGAAACATAAATAAATCCCAGTATCGGTTATCTTTGCCTTCCGTCGTTTCGCCAGTAGTTCTGATAATAGTTTTATTTTGATACTCAAATTCATAGTCCAAGATCTCTCGCCCTCACTTATACGGTCAATATTCGCTAAAGCTTTTGCTCATTAGCCAGATAGACTTAAAAAGGGTCGAGAATTGAACATTCTCTCACACATGTTACCTGCCGCTAGACTCGCAGGTTTCTTACAGGCTTTTGAGCAACCCCCCATTTCCCCCAGTGCTTGGCACCACCTGTGGATATCAGGGTTGATGCGACCAGGGAACGAACTACAGTCACGAACCCGGGTTTCGAACTCGTGATTTTCACGTTAGCAATTGATACGATCAATTAAGTCCATAATGTTTCCCTATCTCTTGCAAGATACAAACTAGTAGTGACATTATATGGCCAATCGAGATATATTTAGTGACTGACATTAATTTTTCAGTAGCTTTAGTTACCCAATCTAAATTTAAAAACAGGGAAAACATGGATATGCAGCTATTTAAAAATTATTTTTGGAATATTTTCCAAACCATGTTTTTTGTTAAATAAATAAGTCAGGAATGAAACATGACGTCACTGACTGTGTACAGATCCTTCAGGGCTAAAACAAACTTGATTTTTTTTTTTAAATTTGAGTTTTGATAGACGGTTAATTCTGGCCTTCTCTGTGATTGATGTAATAGTTCACAGACTCTTAATAAACGAAGTTCATAGTTTACTGAGCAGATTTGTGTTCAGAGGATTATCTCTGCGCGTGGGCATGGGTTTATCGCTAATCCACTAACACGTTACATAAAAAAAAACAGCACCTTTGAGATAAAAGATTGACAGTTTTGTCTAAAGCTGCTAAATCTGTCTCGTCAAGATCAAACAGGTATTTCCAGACGCACCGATCAAGGAATAGAAAGTTTGCTAGTATTTGAACGTTCGATAAAACGGCTCTATAAAGCTATTTGGCGTTCTTTATAGATGTGCTGGAAACTATATTTAAACCACGAATCAAAAGAACACATGATGGCATTATAAAACTACATCTTTGACGCAACTATTTGAGTTTTTATTTTATTAGACACATAAAACTACATCTTGAATGCAGCTATGTCAGTTTTTATTTGAAATCACGCAGCCATTCTAAAAGTAAAGTTCTGCAAATTGCTGTTTTTGTATTTAATACACAAGACGCATTCAGACATTGTAAAAATAATATTTTTCAGATTGATAAGTTTGTTATTTAAGTTTTATATAAACAAAATTAAGGGACAGTACACATTTATGAAACATAAACATTCACATTTATACCAAACCATTATTAATATAACGTTCTATACTTTATAACTAGACCACCATCCTTCAGTAATTTCCTTATAACAGGAACCAAATCGTTTCCCAAATACACATAAATCACACTATTTAAAACTAAAATAATGTGAGAAGAATAACATCAGTTTTGAGAGTATTGCATTTAATACTTGTTCATAATAACAAACAGTAAACCCTTTTAATATTTTATTGTTAAAAGAAAAGCCCACACATAAATTAATGGTAGTATACAAATGTCTTATTCGTTTGAATTTCATGAATGTATTTGTCGTGGGCAATCGAAGAAGAGAGCAGCTAATTTTAGCTTCTAAAAATTATTCCATTGTGTGTGATCTAGATCAAAATGTAAACAAAGAAGATCTATAGTTTGTAGCGGTGCTCTGTTATTTGTTTGTGGAACAACGGTTCCCACTAAATGTTAACGTTAGGAACACTGGTTCCCAATCATTGTTTACGTGAGGAACAGCGGTTCCCAATAATTTTTACGTGAGGGATAACAGTTTGCAAAAATGTAACTGTTACTTGTTTTTTTTAAATTAGGTAATACATTATTTTTTTCCACAACTTAAATTCCTTACATTTTATAAATTTTGTTCGGTTTATGTCAAGATCAAATTAAATGTCGGCAAGCTAATTAAGAACAACTAAAAGTTCAAGCTTAAATGACCAAATATACCGATAAAACACGACAACATTCGATTACTTGTTTATAATGTTTCGACTATTTAAACTTTTATATGTTGTCCTGTAATCGACTACTTAATTTCCTCTCTGTTCTCTTACATCCCTTCACCTCATCCATATTTCAATGAATTTTTCTCTGTCCTTTATTTTGCGTTTCTCAACAACCCTACTCCCGCTTTCTATGAGGTACACGTACCCCAAACTGGGAACCGCTGGAAGTCCCCCCGCCCCCCCATCCCCGAGCAGTAGAAAAGATATTTTTGCAAGTGCCAATCAACGGCACTTAATTTAATAAGTGGGGCATCGCGTGCTGTATCGGCTAAAAAGTCTGCATCCCCCGCCATCACATTGTCAGTTTAGACTCCCGCCCCGTGCTTATATCATACAACGTTTTGATTTCATCTCAAGCTTCCGACATGTTACATAAAAGACAGAATTTTTATAATTATTTGGTGACATAAAAAGCGAAAGAAAATTCTAGAAAACAACTTTTCAAAAATAGAATAAAAAATAATCACGTTTGTTTCTAAGATTTCAAGTAAGAAAAAATACCATAAAGTCAATAAATTAGGTGGATAGATTGTAAAATTCAATTTGTGTAAATAAAATTAAAAATTACGTAAGATAATGATTTTCATTTATAAGCGTATTTTCTTAAATGTATATCAATGTCCTTTAAATACTTAAAGTACTAAATCGGGTGGCTTTGCTAAAAAAAAGTGCATATAACTAAAGTTAATCTATGTTTTTAACTTTAAATCCTAAACGTTTTGATGGACTGTGAAGGTGATGGCGTGGTCAAAACAATATGTCTAGCTGTCATTTGGCGTGGTCAAGACATATCTAGCTGCCATTTGGCGTAGTCAAGACATGTCTTGCTGTCATTTAGCGTGGTCAAAACGTCTTGCTGTCATTTGGCGTGGTCAAGACGTCCTACTGTGATTCAGCGTGGACATCACCCAGGTTTGCATTCCCTTTTTTCACCATGCTCGGTACTTGTTAATACTGATTCGGCTCA